TGTTCTAACCGAGATGGGACTTGAACCCAGGCCCTTGCCTCAGAGGTAGGGACACTACACTCCAGCACAAGGGTTCACACTATTACAGATTTTTCCACAGAATCCCCACAGTGCGGAAACAGACCATTGGCCAAACAAGTCCACACCAAACCTCCAAACAGTACCTTTATTTTATTTTTTTACATCCAATTCATTCAGGATTTTGACCCAGTGACAGTGAAGGAACGGCGATATATTTCCAAGTCAGGATGGTGAGGGGCTTGGAGGGGAACTTGCAGGGGGTGATGTTCCCATGTATCTGCTGCCCCTTGCCCTTCTAGATGGAAGTGGTCGTGGGTTTGGAAGGTGCTGCCTGAGGGTCTTTGGTGAATTTCTGCAGGGCATCTTGTAGATAGTACACACTGCTGCTACTGAGCGTCGGTGGTGGTGGAGGGAGTGGGATGTTTGTGGATGTGGTGCCAATCAAGTGGCTGCTTTGTCCTGGATGGTGTCAAGCTTCTTGAGTGTTATTGGGGCTGCACTCATCCAGGCAAGTGGGGAGTATTCCATTACACTCCTGACTTGTGCCTTGTAGATGGTGGACAGGCTCTGGGGAGACAGGAGGTGAGTTACTTGCTGCAGTATTCCCAGCTTCTGGCCTGCTCTTGTCTTCATATGAGGAATCTTATTCAGTTTCTGATCAATAGTAGCCCCCAGGGTGCAGTTCTAGTCTCCTTTTCTGAGGAAAGGTTCTCTTGCTCTCTAAGGGAGTGCAGCAAAGGTTTACCAGGCTGATTCCGGGGATGGCGGGTCTGACGTACAAGGAGAGATTGACTTGGTTGGGATTGTTTTCGCTAGAGTTCAGATGAATGAGGGGGATCTCATAGAGACTTATAAAATTCTAACAAACTGGACAGGGTAAGGGTAGATGCAGGGAGGATGTTCCCGATGGTGGGTGTGTCCAGAACCAGGGGGCACAGTATGAGGATTCGGGGTAGACCATTTAGGATGGAGATGATGAGACATTTCTTCACCCAAAGAGTGGTGAGCCTGTGGAATTTGTTACCACAGGAAAAAGGTGATGCCAAAACATTGAATGCATTCTAGAGGTGACTAGATATAGCACTTGGGGCGAATGGGATCAAAGGTTATGGGGAGAAAGCAGGATTAGGCTGTTGAGTTGAACGATCAGCCATGATCGAGAAGAATGGCAGAGCAGGCTCGAAGGGCTGAATGGCCTCTTCCTGCTCCTATCTTCTATGTTTCTATTTAGTGACGGTAACACCATTGAATGTTGAGGAGCATTGGTTAGATTGTGTCTCATTTGAAATGATCATTGCTTGGTATTTCTGATGAAGGGTCTAGGCCCAAAACGTCAGCCTTCCTGTTCCTATGATGCTGCTTGGCCTGCTGTGTTCATCCAGCTCTACACCTTGTTATCTCTTGCTTGGTATTTGTGTTTCTTTTTCCTTTATTCATTCGTGGGATGAGGGCGTCACTGGCCAGGCAGCAGTTATTGCCCATCCCTAATTGCCCAGAGGGCAGTTAAGAGTCAACCACATTGCTGTGGGTCTGGAGTCACATGTAGGCCAGACCAGGTAAGGATGGCAGTTTCCTTCACTAAAGGGACATTAGTGAACCAGATGGGTTTTTCCCAACAATCGACAATAGATTCATGGTCATCATTAGATTCTTAATTCCAAATATTTATTGAATTCAAATTCCACCATCTGCCATGGCAGGATTTGAGCCCAGGTCTCTAGAACATTAACTGGATCACTTGATTAACAGTCCAGTGACAATGCCACCAGGACATCGCCTCCACTAGCACGTAGCGTGAATATTACTCGCCATTTTTTGCGAAAGGTGCTGAACATTTTGCAATGATCAGCAAACATTCACAGTTGAGGGTTTGATGCTGTAAGACACAGGCAGTGTCTCTAATTGTAACATCAGCCCAGTTTCGATGCTGAGATCATTAACCATCTGTTGCGGTGTCACTGGGGACATTCTAAGTTTCTCTCCATATTAATTAAGCGGTCCTCAGTTATTTGATTACACAGCACGGATTCTACATTTAGCCCCAGATTCTCCCATGAGACCCCCAGACTGAGCACTATATAAGGGATGAGAAGGGTCTAACTGTAAGTCAGTGGGGAGTTCACGTTATGTGCACTCAAGGTGCACAGGGGCTGCTCCAAAGAAGGTTAACTGCTGTCTGGGAATGTGGAGAGGGAGGGCAATCATTCCCTGGCACTATCCCCCCCACCCCCCTCCCTCTCCCTGCCCACACCCTCCCTCTGCCCAACACGGGTTTATAAGGTGACCTCTCCCTTTCTCAATCGGTTGCTGGTCTTGCTGTTGCTTTTCAAGAATATAAAATAATCTTCCTTCCAAAACGTAAGGAGGAGGAAGTGGCTGCCTGAGGGAGGACTCAGTTCTTCACCAGGGTAAGTGACAGAATGAAAATTCTGTCCCCAACTCAAACCCAACATTCTGTAGCATTTACTGAGGCGTGGGATAGGATGGTGGGGGGAGAGAGGTGGTGAGGGGAGAGAGGGGATTTAGCTGTAACCTGGTCATAAATTAACTCCATCAACCTGCTAAGCTGTGGAGCAGTGGAATAAATTGGTCATTCCTTATGGACAGAGAACTTCCTTCAGTAGGTTTGCCTGCTCCCGGTTTGATCCGTGAGGAATAGTGAGGGAATCTCTCTACACTGGGTCCCTGTTACCCCCCTATTCGTCCATGAAGAATCCAGCTACTGTAATGGGTAGCAACACATAAAGGATCCCCAGGACAGGGAAAAACTGAGGAAAACAAAACAAAAGTGAAACTCAAACCAGCAAATTGGATTAGCAAAGGACATTCAATAAGATGCCACACAAAAGGTTAATACAGAAGACAAGATGATGGTGATATATGAACATGGATAGAAGATTCATTGACTAAAGAGCATAAAACAAAGCTTGAGCAAATTTGAGTCACTAACGAATGGAATGCAGCTTGCTGGGACCTCAACTATTTATGATCCTATCCAAAAGGAGGCACCAACTTTCCACTGTCACTAAGGTTTCTAAAGGTAGAAAAGTAGACAAAAAAAAGCAAGTCTGCAATTGGCACTTCACGTGTGAGAAAGTGTGAGGTGATGGACTTTAGCAGGAAGAGTTGAAATGCAATGTATTATTGAAATGGAGAAAGATTGCAGAACACTGAAATACAGAGGGATCTGGGTTCCTTGTACATGAATCACAAACTGCAGGTACAGCAAGTGATTAGGAAGACAAATGTAAATTTAACCTCTCCCTAGAAGTAGGATAGAAACAGAGTGTTAGGGTATGGGGGTGAAAGCAGCAGGATGGCACAAGGTAACGATGTTTGATGCAGACACATTGTGATGACAATTCTGTGATTATAACAAATAGGTGAAGTATAAAAGCAGAGAAGTCTTGCTACAACTGTACTGGGTATTGCTGAGAACTGACCTGGAGGACTGTGTGCAGTCTGAGTCTCCTGTCTAAAGGAGGGACATACAGTTCACAGGAGATACACTTGGCCAATTCCTGGGATGACAGGGCTGTCATACAAGGCAGGGTTAAGTATTGTTGGGTCTATACTCATTAGCATTTGGATGAACAAGAGATGGTCTTATTGAAGGGGTTTGGTAGGGTAGATGTGGAGAGCCTGTTTCCCCTCTTGGGAAACACAGGGGACACAGTTCACAAATAGGGGGCTTCTCATTAAAGACAGAGATGAGGAGAATTTTGTTTTCTCAGAGGGTCATTAATGCATGGAATTATCATCCCCAGAAAATGGTGGAGGAAGATTCATTGAAGCTAGCCTTGATTAGGAAGGGAGTCAAGGATTATCAGGGGGAAGTCGGACAGGGAAGTTATGGTCACAATTTGTTTGGCCTTGATCCTATTGAATGAGGGAGCAGGCTCGAGGGGCTGAATGGCCTCCTCCTGTTCCTAGCTCATGTGTTCCAGTCTCCTGCCGTGTGGAATTCCTCTAAACACCGAAAGGCAATCAGAGAGGATGGTCCCATCGTTTATCTCATAAAGTTGTAACAATTCTGACATCAGGTTTCAGTTGTGGATGTAAGAACAGAAATTGCTGGAGAAACTCAGCAGGTATAGCAGCATCTGTGGAGAGAGAAACAGAGTTAACACTAAGAGGCTGGAATGTCTCTTCTTTGAGAATGTATTGGTTTGCTGTGGAGTGCATTCTGAGTCTGTTTCGCATTCAACACTAGAAATGTTTGGCTTCTCTGTCTCCTCCATTGCTGGTCCGTTGGGGATCTACCAGATCACTGGGAATGTCTTGGAACCAGGGAAGGTGCAGGAGGGAGTGTATATCATGGGGCCAGGGCTGGTGGCAGCGAGCTATTCTTGAAAAGGGCTGGCATAGACGTGAGGGCTGAATGGCTTCTTTCAGAACTATAACCAGCCTGCGATTCGCTGAGTGAGACAACTTATCTTGGCTTCAAGACAATCTGGGAGTTTTTCATGGTGACTTATATTACAGATTTATTGAAGGAGTTGAGGTTACCTTTACTCTGCTCCTCCAGTGGGATTTGAACATCTATCACAAAAACAAAGTGCTGGAAAAGCTCAGCAGGTCTGGCAGCATCTGTGGAGGAGAAAACAGAGTTAACGTTTCAGGTCCCGTGACCCTTCCTCAGGACTTCCTCACCGGACCCGAAACGTTAACTCTGTTTTCTCCTTCACAGATGCTGCCAGACCTGCTGAGCTTTTCCAGCAACTTCTGTTTTTGTTCCTGATTTACAGCATCCGCAGTTCTTTCGGTTTTTATTTGAACATCTATCAGTGGATTAATCATTGGGTGAACAAATTTCCCTCCTGCTTTGTCCTTACGCTGATGACAGCGTGTCCATCACTCAGTCACCCCTCCCAGCTCCTCAATGACACTGCATAGACACAACGGTGGAAGGAGCAGGCAATGTTCTGGTCAATTATTAGTCCCAGGCGCCAGTCAGTTGTTGTTGTTTTTGTTGGTAGATGTCGAAGACAGCAGCTGCAAAGAAAGCTGCCCCACCCCCAGGATGCACCATCGACATCAACGATCCCAAAGTTCAAGATGCAGCCATTAAAATCCAGGCCTCGTACCGAGGGCACAGGTAAAGGGGCAGAGACAGCACCGAAACCACCCAGTGGGGGCAGATCCTGGTCATGTGTTTAACCACAACCCCCTGCCCCACGGGTCAGCGTATCTCCCTCAGGGGTCAGCGTCACTCCCTCAGGGGTCAGCGTATCTCCCTCAGGGGTCAGCGTCACTCCCTCAGGGGTCAGAGTGTCACTCCCTCAGGGGTCAGTGTGTAACTCCCTCAGGGGTCAGAGTGTCACTCCCTCAGGGGTCAGAATGTCACTCCCTCAGGGGTCAGTGTGTAATTCCCGCAAGGGTCAGTGTCACTCCCTCAGGAGTCAGTGTGTAACTCCCTCAGGGGTCAGTATGTAACACCCTCAGGGGTCTGAGTGTCACTCCCTCAGGGGTCAGTGTCATTCCCTCAGGGGTCAGAGTGTCACTCCCTCAGGGGTCAGTGTGTAACTCCCTCAGGGGTCAGAGTGTCACTCCCTCAGGGGTCAGAATGTCACTCCCTCAGGGGTCAGTGTGTCACTCCCTCAGGGGTCAGAATGTCACTCCCTCAGGGGTCAGTGTGTCACTCCCTCAGGGGTCAGAATGTCACTCCCTCAGGGGTCAGTGTGTAACTCCCGCAAGGGTCAGTGTCACTCCCTCAGGGGTCAGTGTGTCACTCCCTCAGGGGTCCATGTCACTCCCTCAGGGGTCAGTGTAAGTCCCACAGAGGTCAGAGTGTAACTCCCTCAGGGGTCAGTGTGTAACTCCCTCAGGGGTCAGAGTGTCCCTCCCTCAGGGGTCAGTGTGTAACTCCCTCAGGGGTCAGTGTACCTCCCTCAGGGTCAGAGTCTACCTCCCTCAGGGGTCAGTGTGTAACTCCCTCAGGGGTCAGTGTGTAACTCCCTCAGGGGTCAGTGTACCTCCCTCAGGGGTCAGTGTACCACCCTCAGGGTCAGAGTCTACCTCCCTCAGGGGTCAGTGTCACTCCCTCAGGGGTCAGTGTCACTCCCTCAGGGGTCAGAGTGTCACTCCCTCAGGGGTCAGTGTACCACCCTCAGGGTGAGAGTCTACCTCCCTCAGGGGTCAGAGTGTACTTCCTTTGGGGATATTTTGATAAACTTGTCTTTCTGCAGACAGTCACAGTAATTGATTGGTCAATGATGTTGTCCCTGCCTCCTGTCTCCCCATGCTGTTCAGGTCTCGTCAGGAGTTGAGGGAGAAGGGCCCTCCGAGGATCCTTAAGGAATTGAAGGATGTGGTGTTGATCGAGGGCAGTGCAGCGAGGCTGGATTGCAGGGTCAGTGCCTTCCCTGACCCTCTCATCCGCTGGTTTAAGAATGGTCAGGAGCTGAAGGATGGGCCCAAGTACCGCTACGTGTTTGAGGACCCTGATGTGGTAGCATTGGTGGTTAGGGACGGGACTCTGTCTGATCTGGGAAAATACACCATCTCAATCAGCAACACCTTTGGAGAAACCTTTGATTCAGCAAAGATCATCATCGAAGGTAAAGAGATCCCACCAGATCCCTCCAGGTTGTCATATGTGTGTTCCCAAAGCTCACTTCAGCCTCTTGTGTCTCGGCGAATCACATCTGAAAGCCCGTTGAACTTTTCCCACCCAGCTCCTTCCATGAGCTGATTGGTGGAACGGAACCCGAGGCTTGTGGAGAGAGGACACTGTTGAAGCTGTTTATTGTGGAGTCATACAGTCATAGAGTAATATAGCATGGAAACAGGCCCTTCGGCCCAAACTGGTCCATGATGACCATGGTGCTCACTCAGCTCATTCCAATTGCCGGCATTTGGTTCATTTCCTTCCAATCCATGTACCTATCTAAATGTTTTTTAGATGTTGCTATTGGCCTCCCTCAACCACTTTCTCTGGCAGCCCATTCCATACAATCACTACTCTCTGCCTGAAGAAGTTGCCCCTCAGGTCCTTCTTAAATCTTTCCCCTCTCACCTTAAACCTATGCCCTCTAATTTTCAATTCCCCATCCCTGAGAAAAAAACAATATGCATTCATCCTATCTATTCCCCTCATGATTTTATACACCTCAATAAGGTCCCCCCTCATTCCGCTACATTCCCAGGAATAAAGTCCTATCCTGGCCAACCTCTCCCTATAACTCAGGCCTACTAGTCCTGCAACATCCTCGTAAATTCATTGGATAAACATATGGATGATAATGGAATAGTGTAGGTTAGATGGGCTTCAGGTTGGTTTCACAGGTCGATGCAACATCGAGGGCTGAAGGGCCTGTACTGCGCTGTAATGTTCTATGTTCTATGTTCTAAATCCCCTTTGCACACTTTCCAGTTTAACAATGTCTTTCCTATAACAGGGTGACCTAAACTGTACACAATACTCCAAGTGCGGCCTCACCAATGATTTATACAACTGTAACATAACGTCCCAACTTCTATACTCAATGCCTTGACCGATGAAGGCCAGCATGCTAAGTGCCTTCTTCACCACCCTGTCTATCTGTGACACCACTTTCAACAAACTGTGTACTCATACTGCTAGGTCCCTCTGTTCCACAACACTCCTCAGGATCTTACCATTTACTGTACAAATCCTACCTTGGTTTGACTTTCCAAAATGCAACATCTCACACTTATCTGTATTGAACTGCAATTGCCAATTCTCAGTCCATTTCCTCATCTGATCAAGATCCCTCTGTAGTTTTTGATAACCTTCCTCATTATCAATGATACCTCCTAATTTTGTATCATCCACAAACTTACTAATCATGCCTTGTACATTCACATCTAGATCATTTATGTAAATAACAAATAACAAAGGTCTCAGCACCGACCCCTGTGGCAGACCACTAGTCACAAGCCTCCAGTCTGAGAAACAACCTTCAACCATCATCCTCTGCTTCCTACCATCGAGCCAATTTTGAATCCAATTAGCTAGCTCTCCCTGAATCCCATGCAACCTAACCTTCGTGACTAACCTTCCATGTGGGAACTTGTCAAAGGCTTTACTAAAGTCCATATAGACAACATCCTCTGCTCTACCCTCATCCATCCTCTTGGTTGTCTCTTCGAAAAACTAAAAGATTGGTCAGACATGACTTCTTGCACACAAATCCATACTGACTATCCCAAATCAGACCTTGACCATCCAAATATCAGTTGATCCTGTCCCTCAGTATCCTCTCCAATAGCTTGCCTACAACTGATCTCAGGCTCACTGGCCTGTACATTCCTGGCTTGTCTTTGCTTCCTTTCTTAACCAATGGAACAACATTAACCACCCTCCAGTCTTCTGGAGCTTCAAGAGTGCCTGAAGATGAAGCAAAAATTTCTGCAAGGGCCTCTGCAAGTTCTTCCCTAGCCTCCCACAACGTCCAAGGGTGAACTTGAGCAGGCCCAGGGATTTATCCACCTTAATATGTTCTAAGGCTGTAAACACCTCCTCTCTGGTAATATGTATGCGGTCCAAAATATATCCACTTGTTTCCTTTATTTCCTTAGCATCCATGATTCTCTCCTCAGTAAACACTGAGCAGAAATATTTATTAAAAATCTCCCCCCATCTCCTGTGGCCCCACATATAGATGGCCATATTGATCTTTAAAGGGACCTATTCTCTCCTGAGCCAACCTCTTTCTCTTAATATAGCTATAAAACCTCTTGGGATTATCTTTAATCTTATCTGGCAGATCC